AGAGTCAAGAAAAACTGCAGTTCAGGTGACTTAATTTTCCAGTCTCCAATTATTCATAGGAATTAACTTCCAACTCTACAGCTCTTGATCTTTGATGAGAATCTCACAAGTTATGATGACATACTAAACATCAAAACCCTCAAAGACAAACATGTCAACTTCTTCCAACACACATCACCAGCCCAGAAAAAAAGGCTTGGAACATACGAATAGACCCCACAAACATCCCGTTAACATTATGGATGAGAATCTAACAAGTTATGATGACATACTAAAAATCGAAACCCTCAAAGACAAACATGTCAACTTCTTCCAACACACTACCAGCCCAGAAAAGGCTTGGAACATACGATTGGAAACCACAAACATCCTGTTAACATCTTGGATGAGAATCTCACAAGTTATGATGACATACTAAAGATCAAAACCCTCAAAGACAAACATGTCAACTTCTTCCAACACATAACCATCATCAACCAGCGCAGAAAAGGCTTGGAACATTACGAATGGACCCCACAAACATCCCGTTAACATACGCCGCTTCCAATTACGGCAGGACCCCTCTGCCCCCTTGCAGCGATGATTTGTCAGGCCCTCCTTTGAAATCCCCCGCCTCAAATTTAAACTTGACCCGGTTGAGCATTGAATGCCTCCGTTTTGTGTACTTTACCGGTCGGAGCAATGACCCCGTCTTTGCCCCATCGCAGGGTACCAACAACCGACCGTCGTTTGGAGCAAAAAGCATTCTTCAAATTCTTGCCTCTGTAAAGAAGAAGCAAAGGTTTTGAGCGTTTTCCCCTCATTTTTTGCTCAATTTTTTTATTTTTTGTTATGGGGTAAAAGCCTGAAACATGTCAGGCGAAGTGATGGTTCCTGTCATGGAGGGACTTTGCATTCAGAGTTTGAAAATTCATTTTATGAGTTGGTTGTTGTGAGGAGTTCCTGAGGATTTTAATACAAACACTTTCTAAATAATGCCAGTATGATATCATACCTGACAAGTTCTCTTAATGCCCCTCAAGAAAGGTGTTAACCCTGTGTTATATAGGAGTTATTGCCCTTCTGGTTCCAAAGAGAAGATACAGTATGTTGATTAATACCCACATCCTCATCCTCCCTCCTCGCTCCCCCCCCCCCCCTCTCTCTTTCTCTCTTTCTCCTCTCTCCCTATCCCTCTTCCTCTCTCTCTCCCTCTCTCTCTTTCCCCCTCTCCCTCCTCCCCCCCTCTCTCTCTCTCTCTCTCTCTCTGGCCATCATTGATGAATGAGATTCATCCATTTCCAATTCACTGTCAATTTCATAAAAGTAATACTTTGGCAGATAGTTGTAGAAATTAATATACAAACGATGTACACAAAATAGTTTGTTTCACAAGTTTGTAAAATGTAATGTCATGTATATGAATCTAAGCAAGATTACCCTCTGTGCATCTAAGAGTACATGGAGGTTGCACAAAGGCTTATTAAGAGCAGATAGATCGTACAATGAACGAATGAAGACGTGCATCAGTTTGTCTTGACACTCGTGCTCTCAGAGAACATGAATTCACATTAAATGGCTCCCAGTCTAGGCCCTGCATCCATCAGAACATGATGCAAATGGTCTTTGTCATCTTAGCAGACATCACAGCTTGATCGTCATGACAACCCACCGCCCGCTCTCACCTTCACATCTTCTTGAAGGAGCTAATTTAGAGTGCTAGCTCATTGGTAGAACCTGCTCCTACTGGTAGTAGGATGGAGGTACCAGTTGGCCTATTGGCAAATCTATTTTATGCAAAACTCTTAAAGAAACGTTGTGTAGAAAATTGTTGTACAATTAGAACACTTTGTTCGGACTTGTTGAAATGTATACAAAACTTGTAAAGAAACTTTGGTCAGAAAGAGAGAGAATCACTTCAAACAAGCTCTCATTAATTAAAAAGAATATTGGTAAAAAAATCTCTTTTACATTCAAATTATGCACCTGATTTATAGTTGGCATGGAGTAAAAAATTGTTAAAAAGAACACAATTCTATCTATCTCACTCACATCTTAACCAAGTGGTATAGTGAGATGGATAGTGGACAGAGCATGAGAGGAGAAAGATAGGAATAGAGAGGGGAAAAAATCTCAAACAAGAAATTTAATCAACGATTCTTAAACAAACAAACCAGCGCAAGGAATCTGATGATCGATTATTCACAGCAGTGGGCTTTGATAAATTAATACATTTATGGATGATTAATGGGATTCCACCCCGACAAATTATGTCTTTCCTTTCCTTTCTTTTCTTCGCACTTCAGAAAAAAAGGAATGTTCCATCATGAATGACTTGCTCATCACTATGGATGCATGGGTAAAGAATTCATCGCGCTGCGGCATAAATACAGAAGGAAGTTCGAAAGCCTCCCAACGATTAAGGTCACATGCACTTTCCGAACCTCACAACAGCACATTCTGCCTGTGCGGTTATTGTGCGTCGACTCTGCCGAGGTTGGTTGTTCATTCACGCTAGATAATGTCAAATATTTGGTATAGAAATTATGAGACATGTACATAGACTTGGTGATTGTATTCTTTGCAGATGCCTTGTAAATTTGTGTTTACATGGACTATAAAAATTTACCTTTAAGCCTACCTGGACATTATTTATCATCTCGGATACATTCATGTTCAAACAATCCTACGATGTCTCGTACATAAGTCATTGATGCTGGGATGTACGCACTGTACTTTGAACAGATTTATTTATTTCTTCACGTTTTCTGACAGTAAAGGGCAAGGCCCATTATTGTTCTCCCATTAAGAGGTGCAAAACCCTATTCATAAGTTTTTTTCAGTTTTTTTTTAAAGACCTACTCTATATTCTACAAAGAGATGAATACATTGGAAGACTTGTTATTTTTAAGTGTAAAAATCAACTCGAGCTTCTTCAGAACTTTTTTTTTTGAAAGTGAGACTTTCTCAAAAGCCAGTATCATTTTCATTGTATATTTTGTTTGTTGTTTACCAGAGGTCTTTTGCCGCTTTCAAGAGCAAACTGCTCTCACATCTAAACATGTTTGCCCTCCTTCTGTACCATAACATAAGCCTCACGCCACGATGAAGGAATTCTATTTCTCTTGTTCTACTAGCTACTAGAACCAAACAAAAGTCTATTCATTTCTCTAGCTTCCAAGTTCCAACCTACCTACGCCACAAAGTTCACATGCACCCAGGCAGACTTGGGACGCACCACTTGATCATGATTTATGACTAGCACATTCTCTGCTCTGTGTCCAATCAATAAGCAATTGTCAGATGGAGGCATTCAACGAAGATTTCACTCACGGACAAAAAGAAGAAAAAAAAACCTGGCGTGCCTATTTTCTCCCATCCAAACCCCAATCCCAGGGTCCCATGGCAGAGTTCGTCTCTCGGAGGGATCATTCAAGAATGTTAGTTGTCATGTGATGTTGAGCTCGATATCAGTCATGTCCGTACATCGAATTGGACCAAAAAGGCAACTTCAGGAGTACAGACTATAGTCGCATTACTATTAGCCCAAATAAGCTAGAGCTTGAGATATTACACTGATCAGTTCTTCTTGAGAAATAATGAGTGAGTTCGAAGTTTCTTATCTCTAGAAGCTCAACTCAAGCAATTCCCACTCACTCAAAGACTGAGCTCAAGTATACAGAGCATATATGCCAACTCATATCAACCATACATCAACCTTAACCAGGAGCAGAAAAAACATCCCAAGCCATTAAGCCTTTAGGTGTTTTATATTTCATACAAATTGATTAAACAAAGTGATGGAAAGAAGAAGAGGGGAAGACCTCACAAAGGCTTTTTAGATGATGTAATCACAGAATGTGGAGCAACAGGGTATGAAACGTTGAAACGGATGGCTCAAGACCGAGGAACTTGGAGAGACACTTGATATAAAATTTTGATTGGGTTACTAAACCTGTCATAAACTGACAGATCACTATTGATGATGATGATGATGATTAAACAATTCAAAATAAGCTGCAATAATCAGTACCTCTTCACCAACATACATGCCTATAAATAGAGCATTTTATGTATCTATCTTTTATTTCAATGTCTAGCACAGACAGAAGTACATGTACTACTCTGTAAGCCCTGGAGCAAAAGGTATACCGGTAGTACAGCTTGCACAACTTTGCACACTTGACTTATGGTCTATAAACTATTGCCAAACTACCTCAGTTGATTCATTTTCGACCATAAAACTTGTCCATAATGTCCCCATCGGGTCATGAACTGCCTTTTGAGTGTCCATAAAACTATTGCTTTTATGGGGCTATCAGCATGTCAGACATGCAAGTTTCATTTGCTGTTTTGTCTGGCTGAGTGACTGAAACACTGGCTGAAAAAGTTTGAAAGAATGAAGTGAACCAAGCAAGCAGATCAGGAATGTCGAATTTGGTTTGCTGAGAAACAAGTTTGCATTAATATATATATGTGTAAATATTGTTGGAAATAGTTTCACTTCACATATTAGACAGATATAAAATACAGAAACGGGTTTTATAGGCTTTACTAAATTATGTCACTATTGCTACTTGGTATTCATGGTCATCATCATCATCGTCATCATCATCATATTCATTTTTCACCACCATCATCATCATCTTAATCATCATCATCACCATCATCATCATCATCATCATCATCATCATCACCATCATCACCACCACCACCACCACCACCACCACCACCACCATCATCATCATCATCATCATCATCATCATCATCATCATCATCATCATCATCATCATCATCATCTTCATTTTCATCAACATCAACATCATCATCATCATCATCATCATCATCATCATCATCATCATCATCATCATCATTGTCTTCATTTTCATCATCATCATGTATCATCATCATCATTGTCTTCATTTTCATCATTTTCATCATCATCATCATCATCATCATCATCATCATCATCATCATCATCATCATCGTCGTCGTCTTCATCATAATTTCATGATTCTTACCTGATCACATGTCTGCTGGCATGATGGATGACTCCTAACCCGATGACAGCACTGAGGATCTGGTTAGAAGAACAACAGGAAAGTGGAGAAAATGATCAATTTAATGATAAGGATATAATAACAAAATAATTAAAGATAATAAATCATAAAGCATGATGGAGGTTCATTTTTATAACTTTATGTAATACTCATTTATTTTTTATTAGTGAAAGTTCAATATATCATATAAAAAATACACATCTTTTTTGTTCTATCTCTATCTCTCTCTCTCTCTCTCTCGCTCTCTCTCTCTCTCTCTCTCTCTCTCTCTCTCTCTCTCTCTCTCTCTCTCTCTCTCAGTCACAAATGTAAAAAATAATATGAATGCTTGACCATCCTGCAAGAGCATGTAGATAAACATATGATCAATGTATAATGTAGTCCTACCCCTCCCCAGTCCTCCCCCCCCCCCCCACCAACCTCTGCCCTTCTCTGTCCTCTACTCCTCCCCAGCCGGCCTACTCCTCTCCTACCACTACTCCTTCCCCAACCCCACCCCTCACCCCTCACCAAGACATGTTCTACCCCACCCCTGACCAAGACATCTTTTACCCCTCCCCCTCACAAACAGATAATTGAAATATGAGTATATGAGTAGGCACCCATACATCATTCCTACATGTACACACTACATGCCACATCAATCAACAAGCGATGGGGGAGGAGGGTATGTCAATGAAGAATGATATGATGATGATGATGATGATGATGATGATATGATGATGATGATGATGAGGATGATGAATACGATGGGGTCTTGTACACCGATGTTATCCATCTCTGATGTGCACTCACGGCACAGAAATGTAGAAGAAAAAGTCCATGTTCTAGTCCCTTTGTCATTAATGTTTTTGCTCACTCTTCTCATTCTTAGTGAATTCTATTGATAAAGTTGGTGTTCTCTTGATGATATCAACATATACCACTCCCCATCCCTACCTCAATTCCTGATAAAATAAATCAGAAGGGGGGGATGATTACCCCTGACTCCTCCCAAGACAACCCCATCAGCTCACGATAGATTGCGCACGGCAAGAGGCCTTGAACTTGAAGCTATTGATTCAACTGCACTTTGGGGTGCATCATTCCCTCTCCAAGGAATCTCGCGCTGCAGCGGCAACGTCGGCAACCGTGGCGGCTACGGCGGCCAGATATGAGGTTGGACAGCTATTAGGATATGAAATTGATCGGGTGGGACGTGGGCAATCGGAGCGTGTCGAGAAGACGGCATGATGGGGGGTGGGGAGAAGGTGTCTGTTGATTAAAAACTCCCAAATCAATGCCGACACTTGCCAAGTTTCAATAGGCACCTTCCAGAGCTCCTGCTCGGGATGTGTGCCGAGAGCGAGAAGGGTGTTAGCTCATTATAGACTTACATTGAATTAACGCTGTTCTGGCTCTGAAATGTTGATAGACTGTGCTTGGAATCTAAGATGAAGATGTTAGCAAGTTTGATGACAATACCTGAAAGATCTTTCATGCTGAGAGCCACCTTTCATGCTTTAAACAATGACAGATGATAATATCCAGTGCTCAGAATCTTAAGTTGCAGATACATGTATATCAAGTTTAATGTCAATACCTACAGTTAACATCTTAATTATTCACACCTCTGTAAATTTGATGTTTTTATGTTTTTCATGTTGTTTTTTTCAAGAATGAAAGGTGGTCACATTGAATTAGGGACTTTATCGAATACTTGAATAACAGATGTAAGCTTTAATATATGTCACATTCTCAAAAACATAAGTAGGTACAAATCAATTTATCAAATACTTCAAAACATTACAAAACTATACATGATTATATCTTACAAAATAAGAGACTACAGCTACATGTAAGTCAATCAAGATAGTAATCAGAGAGAAACTGATTTGCTGAGCACTTTAAAATATTGGTAGACCAATTCTATAGTTATACTGTTAACAACTAAATTATTCATACCATTAGCAAGCTTTGAGATAAGTAAGTGTACAAACTATTTTTCCCCATTTATGTTTCTTAAGAAATAAGAATGTGACATATGATACTAAAGCTTACATCTAACAGTATTTAAGAACGGCCCTAATTCAACCGGTCCACCTTTTTATTCTTGGGATACGAATTACACAGAGAACGTCAAATTTACAATGGGTATGAATAATTTAGTTGTAAATAAACTGTAGTTACTGATATCTGAATGTTGTTACCCGACCGTTTAGCAAGTGATTTGTGCTTGGCATTTACTTGAAGATGTAATCGGAGGAATGAAATGTGTCCGTCCATCTGTCTTGTCTATCTGTCTGTATGTCTGTCTGATTCTCACAAAGGGGGTAATCTAATAGTCCCATGTTATCAGCAGCACGTCAGACTGAGATGGGACTCAAGTTCATACAGAACAAATGTCACACTATCTCTTAATACCCCCAACGGAATGCCAGCTACGTTCGCCTCGACCAGATAACGGTACCGGCCATTCCGATGTTTGCTATAGCTGAGTAGACGTGTTGGTGAATGAGCAAGGCATTGGTATTCATATTCATAAGTGCACATGTTAATGTGATATGACATTGTACATGTATTTAGTTAATACTGCATATGCAGGTTACAATGGTTGACGTACAGTACCATCCATTCCAATGTTTGCTGGCTGAGTAGACACGTTACACAATGAGCACGACATTGGTATTCACATTCATAAGTGTACATGCTAATATAATATGACATTTTGTTAAAGTCAGATACAATGTAATATACAGTATATATGCAGGCAGAAAGTGCATTTGGTTAGGTAACAAGACATTTGTGCCTGCTTGCCTAAATGTTAGGGTGTGTGTGTGTTTTGGGGTGGGTGTGGGTGTGGGAGGTGTTGGGTGTGGGCTGTGTGGGGGGTGTGGGCTGTGTGGGAGGTGTGTGGGTGTGGGAGCTGGGTGAGGAAGAGAGGTGCTACCATCTCTACATTTTCTGAATGGAACAGTTTGATAATGAATGTGTATTTCTTTCAATTTCTTTTGTCCCTTAAAGAAACATGGTAACATTCTTATGAATGAATGAACACATTTGCCACTCTCCACCCAGGTGTAATAAATGAGCGTTGGGTAAGGATTTATTCCTTGAATGCTTTGAGAGCAGCTGGGCTAAAGCCAAGGTAATAACAGTAATTTGTAGGCCCCTTGAACATCTCCTGAGATGGTGTGCAATATAATGTAACTAGCATTATTATTATTATTATTATCATTATTAATATGATGGTTGGACATTTTTAAGAATAAAAAATCTTCTTGCATTATTCACCATGTGCTGTTATGTCATGCAATTCTATCGACATCTTCAAGCCATAGACCTTGCAGTACAATCAACTTGCATGTTTAACTAAGAACTTGTCTTGTTTTACAATCTGATAATTACCAGCAAATATATGAACAATTACATTATAAACTGTTTGGGCATTGCATCACTTGCATGCCAGGAATTTATCTTCAAAATTATAACATAAAACGCAGTTCATGCTCGGTTTGATTAATTAATCGTCATTCACAATGCAATTTTACTGCCTTTTTTAACAAGAATAAAGTTAATATGTGCCAGCATTTCATCTAATCAACTACGCAATAAAGACATAAACCACAGTTCATGCTTGGTTGAATTAAGTGTAAATGTAATTAAATTACTTATTGCTGGTATACAATACAATTTCACTACTATAATTGACATGTGTATCTCAATGGAATGAAAATCATCCACAATATGTCTTTATGCTTTCTCTCCATTAAATTAAATGTAGAAATAATCGAGATGTTACAGCACTCCTCATTACAGATTTGCCCAGTCTCTGCATCCTGTCCATTCACTACCATCCACCATAGCAGAGGTGATCCTTTTCCTTCATTTCCCTTCACCCCCCCCCCCATCCCATTTTCCTACTCCATACCCTTTCCCTCCATTTCTCTCATCCCCTCCCCCTCTCCCCCCCCCCCCCCTCCCACCTTCAATCCCCCTACTCCACATCGGACCCCTAAGATCATCCCATCTTCCCCTCATCCACAGAGATCACCTTGGAAACAGCATCTTGTCACGTTAACCCAGTCTCCCAAGCACCAGTTGCTCAAACATTGTCTCCGTTTACCAAGTGAGTGCGAGAGTAGCTCTCGCCTCATGGCAAACAAGAACTCCTGATTCAGAGAAAGCCTACTATCAATTGCTGATTTATTTTGCTGATTTATTCATCTCACTTGCAGGTCCTATGACATGCTCCTACAATGACTGCAATACGGCTAACTTCTAACACTAACTAAATTTTAACTTTAACTCTGGATCTAACACTACACCTAACCCTAAACATAAACAAAACATACAATACAACCATAATCCTAACCATAATCCTGTATTTTATTAAGATTATAAAGCATGGAACATTTCTTGGGAATGGGATCACCCATTTTGCGGCCCGAAATGAACTCTCGGTTTCTGAGACGACAACCATACATAATTGTCATCAACAAAAATATAAACATTTCATAATGTTCCTTATCTCTCCAATAATCACTGATTACATCCTCTAACTCTCCCATAATTGATGATTGTTGATTTTATGTTGATTTTAACAGGTCATTGTGATATAGGCCTACACAAACATTGATTTCCTGTCTCGATTTTGATGAAATTGATGAGTTTTGTCTCTAAAATTTATCATAGAGGGTCAAGTTTATTCATTGATATTGGCAATTTTTTTTTTACCAAAAGACAAGATTCATTGTTCTGTGAATGTACGAAGCAAGTATACCATACAGACTACATAGTGAGTGGGAGTGGTAGATATGACAAATTACACATGTTTCTGTTTTTCTGGGCTCCGTTTCAAATGCTGTATTTTCCAAGATAGGTCTCCCGGTGTCTATTGTCCTTCAAGGTTCTTGACTTGAAAGGGAGTAATGGAGCGGGGGAAATAGAAGCGCTGGCACACTAGCGCTCAAGCTGTGAAGACAGGAAGTTTGGGCCATATTTTAATATCAATATCATACTCGGTCCATATTTGGCATCC